CCCTCCACAGAAAGCTAATGAGAGCTGAAAGATTATGGGGCTGGAGAGATGGCTCAGTGATTAAGAGCACTTCCTGCTTTTCCAGAGGTCCTGAGTTTGCTTTCCAGCTCTCGTGTCAAAAAACCCATAACCACCTGCAACTCCAACTCCAAGAGACCAGACACTCTCTTCTGTTCTCCTTCAGTACCTGTGAGAGCACACAGACACACACACACAGACGCACACAGACACACAGACACACACACACATATGAGAGAGAGAGAGAGAGAGAGAGAGAGAGAGAGAGAGAGAGAGAGAATTTTTAAGTTCTATTAAAAATCCAAAGCTTATATTCAATACTTCATTACCTTTGAACCAAAACGCTTCTGTTTCCCCACAGCTCACTCTACTCAATTCTGTTACCTTCAGAAGATTCCAAAGATGGAGAAGCCAGCACCTGCTGGTTGCTCTATAATCCTTCTTGTCACTGTGAGCCCTCTGAAGGCCCTTTCCTCATTCCAGCTCTTTTTGTTGGTGAGGAATAATAGTTCTGTTTTGACAGGATGGCACTGTAGAAATTAGTGTTGTGCTAGTAAATGAGTCCTGGGCTTGGGAGTAGGAGGACCTCTGTCTGTCTCTGGATGTGGATGTGGTCTCCTGCCACTTCTTAGTTCCAGATATAAACGCTGCCCCTCCCAGAACACTGTTCCAGTAGAGGGCTCTAGTTGGCTTTAACATATCAAGAGTGAAAGTCATTGGGAGATTTTTGTTTTTGTTTGAGACAAACTTTCAACATGACATCTCAAATATAGCATCCCCCAACCCCAGTGTAATTATGCAAGTTTGGATATTGCTAACTCTTCTTTTGTCTGTCTGTCTGTCTTGAAGCCTAGCTCTTAAGGATCTACCTTTCCTTAGTCACGTAAACACATTTTAAAATACTATCTTCCTGGTGTGTGTATGTATGTACCATATGAATATGCCATATGCATATGTGCATTTGTATGTATGGGAGCATACATGTGAACACACATGTCATATGTGAATGGAGGCAGAAGCTAAACATCTGTTATCTTCTACTGTAAGTTTTCACCTCACCCTGTAAGGCAGTCCATCACTGAGCTTAGAATTCAATACTAGCTAGACTGGGTGGCCAGTGAGCTCTGATCTACCCTGCCTCTACCCTGCCCTCCTCCACCCTGCCTAGGATTACTGACAGCCTGATGCTTTCCCATAAACATTTATTACAAAATAATTGCATGAATGTACTTTTTAATTTCTTCTTTAAAGGGATCTCACCTCTAAAAGAATACAATGCTTATATTTAAGACTAATTGTTTCAAATTAGTTTCAAACTGTTACAAATCCATTCTTTTTCCTACAGCTGTTCAAGTCTCACCTCCATTGTGCACTGAATCTTGCGTCTTCAGAGTGATCAAGGCAGAGTATTGTATGTGATTTTCCTAACCCCTTGTCTTTAAACTTTTGTGAAAAAGAATAAGTAGGGAGAAATGAGTAAGAAAGGAAAGAAGGGAATATTGGAAACTTGCGCTGCATCCAAAGCCGGTCTAAACTGGTTTGAGTCCTATCAGTGTTACAATCTTAGGTGGTTTAACTTCTTCCTGACTTAATTTCCTCCTTTGTATAATGGAGATAAAAGACAATGACTATTTTAAAGGATTTATTAAGAGGATAAACGAGGTCCTTGGTCCTGTGAAGGCTGGATGCCCCGGTGTGGGGGAATTCGAGGGCGGGGAGGCAGGAGTGGGTGGATGGGTGGGGGCATACCCTCATAGAAGCCAGAGGTGGGGAGAATGAGATAAGGGAGTTTCTGGGGGGAGAGGGGAACGCGGACAACATCTGAAATGTAAATAAATAAAATATCCAAAAAAAAAAAAAGCTAAAAATAAACAATAAAAGAAGATAAACAAAGTGTCCATCTACCTAGGACAGTACTGATGCCGTGTGATTCTCTTACGTTCCGGTTGTCACACTGTGCTTTGAGTTGTCTCCTGTGGTTCTGCACGTAGGTTCATATGTTCGCTTTGATCTGCATTTTCAGAGTCTGGTCTTTGGAACTAGACTCTACCATCAATGCATTGGTGAGTGTGTGCACTTACTCCACAGAGAAGCTTCTACACGGAACTTGAAGCATGACAGAGAAAGGATCGATAAGAATGCAAGTACTTAACCGGCAGTGGAGGCGCACACCTTTAATCCCAGCACTTGGGAGGCAGAGGCAGGCGGATTTCTGAGTTCGAGGCTAGCCTGGTCTACAGAGTGAGTTCTAGGACAGCCAGGGCTACACAGAGAAACCCTGTCTCGAAAAACCAAAAAAAAAAAAAAAAAAGAAAAAGAATGCATTTTCTATCAATGAAACATCATTTCAAAAACAGCAGTTAAGACACTGAAGAAGAGGAAAACAGATTGAAGTCCAGCCCTGGAGAAAATTATAGTTTGAGAGTAGTGTCAGATATTTGGGTTGATGGATTTTAATCTTCACTGTTGCTCTGAGGTGGGCTCCCATTCAGCTAGTGGAAAGAGCCTTAGCTGAGGTTGCAGAGAGTAGAAAAATGTGAAGAGGGTATCATCACAGGGTGCTCACTCAGCAGGCATGGCACATGGTGTAGGTGCTGAAAGCACAGCCGTCAGCCAAAGAATAGATGTAGGTCTCGCTAAATTTACAAACATCAATTAGAAAAATCATATGAGAATATTTAGTGCTTTTATTACGGGTAAATTCTAAAGGTCGACCTTCTAGTATGAAAGGGCTGTAAAAATATAGGAACTTAGGTTTAAAGCCTGTCACTGCAATCAGAGGTGAAAGTTGTAAGGCTGTGTGTCAGCAGGTCCTTGCACGACTGCGCAGTACGAATCTAGACTTGTAACAGAGTCGGGCTCGGGGACTAGGTGGAAAGGTGAATTACAGGAAAGAAAGTCACTAGAGATAGTGTAGGGAGTGGACAGTAAACGGAGAAAGAGACAGGCAGCAACGGGAGCCCCAAGCTAATTACAATAAAAGCAAAACGGGATGGGAAAGGAATGAAAAATTAGCTGAGCTCAGGAAGATCCCAGGTGTGGAGAAAGAGAATAAAGAAAAAGCCTGGGGGATGGGAGAGTCGTGCAAGAGACACACATGGAAGGAGAACCCGCCTGGTACAGGAACAGAGAGAAAGCAATGACCCCAAATCACCTACAGCTAGGAAGTGGGTGCATCTGGAGAGGTGGCAAGAGGTGACTTGAGAGCTCAGGGTGCAGCTAGCCAAGCCTGACCCTGCTAGGTTGGCAGACCAGGGCAGTGGGGGCGGCGCTGGGGTGGAAGAAGGGTTGCGGGGCAGAGGGGGAGGTGTGCTCCGTGTTTAGTGACGTCATTGCAAGTCAGTGCGCGGTGAAATTTAACACCAGCCAGATTTACTAGACTCCTCTTCTTCCAGGCGAAGCGGCAAGCAGTCAACGCTGCCCAGCAAGCGCCTGCAGTTGCCACCGGCCCCCTCGCACCAACTTGATTTCCCAAGTGGGTGTGTGTGCTTGTCTGACAAATGTTTGGGCGCAGGCTGCTCCCAAGGACTTCCTCTCCTACTTTCATCTCCTTCTTCCCACCCCCACCTCCCACCCCGCCTTTTTCCTCCCAGGCCCAAAGCAGAGAGCTCCACTGGAGTCACAGAGTCTCCTTTGAACCGCAAGTGAACTCCAGGGCTGCTCTCAAACCTAGCTCCGGCTGTTGCTGCTGCCCCTGACGCCTCAGGGTGAAGTCTCGCTCATCTCTGGTCCCCCCAGGGGAGCGCGACCCCGGCTGCAGCCAGGCACGGAGCATCCTAGCTATCTTTCCCCCTGGGTGCTGCTTCCTAACCCCATACTGCTTCATCCCTTACCCCACCCTCCACTCGCGGGTTGGAGCATGGTTCTCATGTAACTTTCCCCCCCTTTTCATGGACAGTACCTGCACGTTTAGCAGTTCGGAGCTGGCTTCTGTTTTCCGTTAGTGCTTTGCTGCAGGGACAAATGCATACAAATGCATTTAGGAGCCTACAGGACAAGGCATGGAAAGGTCTCCCCCACCACAGAAACGTAAGTAGCCCACCCGCCGCCTGAGGGGGGAGGAAGGGGCTTTAGACCAACCCCCTCTCTCCACCCCCTGGAGCCACCGTGGAGTTGCAGATCTGTGCTCCTGCTCCTTGATACCTTTTGGTGTAAGGAGCCTGCGAGCTGCCGTGGCATCTTCCTCTTGACTTCTCAACTTGTAAAATACCGTGTTTGAAAGGAAGCAAGCTTCTGCCAGCGAGTCTCAGTTTATGCTAAAGCAATCCTGTGGCTGGGGAGGACAAGCTTGCTGGCCTGTGTCCCAACATCCCCTCGGCCACTGCCCCAGGCAGTTGCAGAGCCGCTCTGACACTCGCCTGGGCTCCAACTCCAACTATCCTCACACACACCCCCCTCCCCTTTTCCTCTTTCAGCTTTGGCTGAAGTCCTACTTCCAGCTGTCTCAGGGCACCCAGCCTGGATGATTGCTAGGACTCCAGCAATCCTGTAGATTCTGCAAGCACAGGATTCGGGTTAGGTTTAGGTGGTGACAAAGGATGTCTATCTACAGAACCTAGAAAGCCGGGAGACTTTGCTCAGTTCAGAGGGTCTGAGGGGGTCACCTCTTTTTATTTCTTTCCTTCTTTTTTTTTTTTTAGAAGACCAACAGACGTAACTCTCACATATGGAGTTGTAGCTGAGCCCTGACATATGTTCTGTCAGTGCAGAAGTGGAGCTTGCAGCCAGGATAGGGTTGGAAGGCAGGAAAGGATAGGGTGTACAGGCAGACCCTGGTAGAGTTCGGGTGGAAGGTAGTTCCACCTTCACTTAGGTACCATACCTGTCCTTATCCTTACGCTGGGGAGAAGTGCGGGCTTGATGGTTCCCAGCCTTGGCTGCTTGCCTGAGTGCCCCTATAGGAGCCAGTGGGTTATCCAAGTTTACATCTGGTCCCTGAGATCCAGGGAGGAAGGCCGCTGGGTTGTAGGTGGGAGGAGGGCAGGGGCCAAGCTGCCAGAGTCAGCTGAGCATTGGTGGAGGCGGGAGTGGAGAAAGCCTGCCTTGTGGCAATGTTTGTGTGCACATGTGCTTCCCAGCCCCGTGTGTGTAGGATCTCTCTCGTGCTCTCCACTCTGACCTCTGCAAGCTTTGTGTGTGAATGTTCCCTGCTGAAGAGCCATTTGCACCTCCAGGCACAAACACTTTTATAGGAGACACAGTGAAGCCAGTATACTCCGGACACCATTGATACCTCACAGTGCTGAGACCCCAGTAGTCTCCAGATCCTAGAAGCTCTCCCTGTGGTCTTCCCAGAGAGGATCCCACAGATCTAGGCTTTTGATTTGGATTTTCTTGATAAGCATTCTACAGCATGGATCTTTCAAGAGACCCAGGCTGGGTGAGGCTTAAATGTATCCTATCTTACAGGACTAAGTGCACCTTCCGGGTTGATGTCTTGCTAGGGTCCTGTAGGGCCTGATCTTCCGGGGGCTTGAGCTTTGTGGAAGACCCCTAAGTTCTGTTCAGACTGCAGGTCCTCTCTTCTCGGCAACTCCCACTGCAAACGCTTTCTCTGAGCCGCTACACCTAGCTCAAGTAGCCAACTAATACTTCCCATGGTGTGTTCACACAAATCTGTCCATGGCCCTTGTTTTGTATGGTTTGCAAGGGTCCCTTCTAGAGGGTCCCAGGATATGTTCTTGGGCAGTGTGGAGTTTGTATTGGGTTTGTGGGGTGGAGGTTGCTGGTGGGACCCAGAAAGTCTGAAAGGATTGCACACACATTGGTGGAAATCCTGTAGAAAATGGCATCTGATGGATCAGGGCCGTGACTTATGGACAGGTGCTGAAGTGGGCAGCGGGTCCCGGATGAAGTCTGGTCTTCCTTGGTCTCTCTGAGGGCACCTCCAGGCCTGGGACCAGGAGCCTGGCCCACCATGAATATCTCATGATGCCAAACTTACATCACAGGAACCAGTGGGTATGGGCTGCGGGTAATTAAGGGTCACTCCTAATTAAACCAGATTACACATCCGCACAGCTCCCACCACACACATGCAGAGGGAGCAAAGGTAGGGGTTGGATTGAGAAACTGGTCCCTAGAAAAAATATCATAAAGAATTTAGAGTTCTTTCAGTTGAAAACACATTACCACCACTTGGGAAATGGGACAGGGCTTAGGAGAAGTCTCCCATTAGCTGATGATAATTATATCAGGCCACTGAGTTAAACTTGAGACCCTAATGAAATAGCAGAGGCTTTCACTAACTACCATCTTTTTGTGGTGATAGTCTGTAAGTTCTAGTTAGCCTCCCCCAAAATTGGATCCATACAGACAGTATCTTTCCCAGGGTTGTCCGTAAAATAGATTACTTGATGTGACTTTGTAGAATTAGTAGCAAGAAACCTGAAAGGTGTTAGATGCACCAGTTTAACTTGCCGGGGTCTGGGAGTGGAGCTCCGTTATGGAACTGCTTGTCTAGCCTGCATGGAGATGGAGGTTCATCTCCACCGCTGCATAAGCCTATTGTGGATGTGGCGGCACAACTCTGCACTTCCTAGTAGTCAAGGGGAAACAGCAGGAGGATCAGAGGTCCCAGGTCACCTTCACTAGAGAGGATCCAGGCCAACTGGGTCTTATAAAGAGAAGATGTCTCAAAAACAGTGCTCAAACATAACTAGAGACAAAAGTCTCCTGGACTGGTCATTATGGTGATTAAAAGGTTGATAATGTTCTGCCTAGCTGATATTAAATACTGTTTTCTAAGTTGTTTAGTTATTTGCAAATTCAAATAAATGTTTAAAATAAATGGATATCTTAGAGAGAAGTATAATGTGTAATTTTGAGGGCTGTTTAGACATTCTGCTTGCTAATCTGGTCTGTGAAGTTGCACGAGAATGGTTTCATTACATGACCTGGACAAGTAGCACTAGTTTCTTTGTAAACTGTGTCTGGCAACTACATCCCATATTAGAATGTATACCTCTGGGTGAGAGATGAAATAAGGACCATTTGATTTTTATCCTACAAAAGCTTAACTCTATTCTGCTATTCATTTACTTATTTACTCATTTCTTCAACAAATATTTACTGAACATCAACTGTGGAGAGTCCAACCTGGTTGCAGGCAGTAGGTAAACAATAGTTGGAGAAGAGAGAGGATGGCTCCCCCACCCCCTCAACACACACACACACACACACACACACACACACACACACACACAATGCGCAGGTTCAGTGAGGAGCAAAGAAAACCTCTCTGCATAACATGAGAAAAAGGTGTGTCCAGGAAGGCTATCTGGAAATCCTGAAGAGGTGGGGGGTGAAGGGGAAAGGAGAGTCAGAAGGAAGAGGAAAGAGAAGGGGGAGGGAGAGACAGAGAAGGAGGCGGGGTGGAGCCAGCAGGGCAAGGAATGACAGGGAGGCAGAATGGTTCTAAATAGAAGGAAGGTTCAACTAAAGAAAACGTAGACATAGACCCAAGCAGAAAGAGGGTGAGTCAATCAGTGTACCTGAAGAAATAAAGTTAGTTTGAGCACCGTTTCCAGGAAGAAGGAGCTGGAACTGGAGGTGCAGAGAGAAACAGAGGAGAATGAAATGCCTTCAGACCTTGTAAGCTGGACAACTTCCTTAATCTTAGGATCAGGGTGCAGATAGAAGTTTGGCAGAAGTCTTGAAGGAATGAATGACCATCTGTTGGTCTTGCTAGCTGAAGGTAGATTAATTTATTCAAAAATCTTTACCACTAGCGTGCACCTGTTTAATAGTATCCTTGGTGTTACAAGATGGTTGGGTCTATTTTTTCTACCCTTTGACCAACGTGCCTCCAGTCTCTTTGACACCTGAAGTGCTTAAGCATTACTCTGTCTGCATCCAGGAGTTGCCCTGGCTCCTAGAATTGGATATGTGCACAGGTCCTACATATTGAGTTCGATTGACAGTCTGAGAGATTTCACCATGCATAAGCACTGACAGTAGTTTCCCCCTAGAATCAACCAATTTTATTCTCATCGCTGGAGTGAAATATTTCCCTCAGTTATTTTGAGAAAGACAGACATTTTTACTATTCCTAGATCTTAGCAGTTAGCCAAGCACAGAATCTATAAAGCTGTCAGGACAAAGATGTCTTTTGGCATAAAAAGCAAGGATGCAAGAAACTGTTAAAACACTGGATGTATGTTACATGTGTGTTTCTCCCATTACTTTGCACGCCTCTGCCAGTTTAAGAGAAAGCCACCAACTCATCAAAAAGCTTGCTATTCACAAAAGTTCACACGTCTTCCTTGCTATTGTAAACTTCATCTTCGTAGGGATGTAGAGCGGTAGCCCGAAGATACGTATCATAAATCCCAAGGACCTCATGAGTACCCTAAAGAAAGATTGTTGGCACTGACCCAAAAGAACCTGGACTTTTATGACAAAGAGAACGTTGAATAGCTCTGTAAGCTGCATCCAGAGGAGACTCTTGGGAAAGGGATTAGTTCCTCAGAACATCTGAGGGTGATCTTTGGATGTCTATTTTTCCATCTAAATTTATGTCTTCCCCCTGTCTAGTCTGGTTGGTAGTGTTTTGGATGTGACTCATGTTAAACTGGATACTGAAGGTGGGCCTAGCAGGCTGAACCTAGACCATTTCAAGCCTTACTGGACATCTATTTATATCGTGGGTTGTCATTTTTGAATCTTTATTACATTTTATTCACTATAATATTGACTTGTTTTAGATTTGTTCGGTTTTATGAAGTTTTCTGAGAATGTTGACTTCTGTCACATACAGAAATTAATCGTACACAACAGTACTCAAACCCGTTTTGTACATTTGACCCATCTGGCAAATATTTGAATCTTCATGACTGGGAAGGTAACTTAGTCTGGCTGTGCAAGTGTGAGGACCTGTGTTTTAATCCCAGCATCCACTTTAGAAAAAGTTGGGTTCGGGAGTGTACATCTGGGATTTTAGTGTTGGGGAGGCAGAGACAGAGGGTCCTGGGGTTTATTGGCCTGTTGGTCTAGACAAATCAGTGAACTCAAAATCACTAAGAGACCTTGTTTTAAAAAGTAAAGTGAAGAATAACTAGGAACAAAACACTCGGTGTCCAACACACACACACATACACACACACACGCTCAAACATATGCACACAAGTGTGCATGCCTACATACATGCATGCATGTATCTGCACGCACACTACCTGTACCATGGACACACTAAAACCAAAATCTTAGTGGGAAGGGAGAGAAGTAACAAAGTGTTAGCAGTCTATCAAGCCCTGAAATTATTCTAGCAGATAGACAAAGGAACATCTAACCCACGTGAAGCAGCTCCTGAACACTGCTAGCTCTAAAGCAGTGAGCCTCAGATGGTCCTCCAGTCAGCAGCATCCGAATTAAGGGAAACTCATCGGAAATGCAGATTTTTACACCACACTACAGACTCCTGAGTTAGCAGTTACATGATTTGTCAGTTGTGAATGTCTAACAGTTGTTTTCTCCCACCGTTTTCTCCTCCCCCCCCCTTAGGAAACTGCTTCTTCGCTTTATTGTACTATGTGTGGTGTGGATTACTGTTCATGCACAGGGACAAGGTAAGAGGAACTATCTTGCTACTTGTATTTAAGATTATTTCTGAGCTGAGTGTGGTAACATAAACTAATAGCCTTGGCATGTCTCAAAAAGAGGCAGAAAGATGTGATGTTCCAAACAAGTGTGGTAGTTATTTTACTAATCATGGTGGCAGAATCCATGACGAAAGCTACTTAAGGAGGGATGTGTTTGTTTGGGCTCACCATTTGAGGATGCTGTTGTCCATCACAGTAGAGAAAGCATGGTGGCTGGAGCCTGAAGTCCCTGTTTCCATTGCATCTGCATAGGTGCTCAGCCAACTCCTTTTTATTCAGTAATGGATCGCAGCCTACGAAGCGGTGCTACCCACATGTAGGGTGGATTTTCCCACCTCAGTTAACTCAGTCTAGAAACTTCCTCCTAGGTAGAGTCAGAAATTCTAAATTTCATAGGGATGACAATCAAAATTTACCATCTGGGATGGTCAGCCTTGGCTACCTAGCAAGTCAGTCACCAACCTGGGCTACATTTGACCCTATTACAAAACAAACAACCAATCAGCATTCCTGCTTGCAGCAGCCACAGCTCCTTCCTTCCAAGTCATCCTAACCTGAAATTCAGCATTAAATAATAATAAAAGGTTAGAGCCAGTTTCAGGAGGATACAAGGTACAAGAAAAAATTCAATTTGGGGGGATAAATATGACCTTTAAGAAATTACTCAGATCTTCGGTCTGAGAAATTGCTTTCATTTTTAGGCAAAATCTCTGTAAAAGGGAAGTTTTGTACAGTGAAAAGGCTTTGCTTGTGACTTCATTTCAAGTGGGAGTTCTTGGGGGTGGCAGACTGTAACTGAATAACCTTTGCCCTTCTTGAAACAACACATGCGTGTAATAAATTTTCCGTCTGGATTTGCATCATTAAGAAGTGAAATTTGCATATTTACGGCCTCAGAACATTATTTAATTCGTGTGGGGTGGTCTAGAAAAGTGTTTTGGTTTGTTCTGTTAGCTTGCTACACTCAGAAATCTTTGTATATCCTTTTTTATTCATTTATTAAACAACATTTTAAAGTGTCTATTTCCCAAGAAGTATCTTACTATCCAATGACTGAGGTATAAATACAAAAATATCTCTGACTTCAAAGTGAGAAAGAGAGCGGTTTTGTCAAAGATTCAAAAACTTTCAAAGAGAAACTCCAGGAAGTGTGCTGGATTTAAGACACCAGCAGTGTGATCCCAAGGTTGGGTTTCTCTCCTGCTTTTGTGAAGCAGGACTCCACGCAGCTGCCCGTATTGTAATACAATTAGCTCTTCAATGTCCTAATAAACTCAACAAGCCTACTTGTGCCTGAGTCCATCAACCAAATAACAACATGAAAGAATGTCAAGCAAAGCAACTACAAATGAAAAATGTGTTTGTGAAGAGGAAAGCATGTGAAGGAAGGGAGGCCTTCTATCTAATAGGGCAAAGTGACAGACTGCAGAGCTGGCTCAGTGCTTAAGAGAGCTTGCTGAACTCTCAGAGGAGCTGAATTCTGTTCCCTGCAAGCATTTTGGTCTGCTTACAGCTGTAACTCTAGGTCCAGGTGACCTGACCCTTTTCTGGCCCCTAGAAGCCACCCACTTATACATGGCATGCACACCCAGGGACAAATAAATCCTAAAAACAGGGGAAATTATCAAAAATTATTCTTTATAGTGAGCACAATTATGACTTGCAATTTGAATATGGCCAAATCTCTATTTGAGCTGGAAACTCTAGTTAGACATCTTAGAAGTCTCTCCATACTTTTAAGACATTTTATGACTTAAAAACAAGTGTCAGGGTCCTTTGAGGATATGGCTCAAAGGTAAGTTGCACCGGGAAATCAAGTCTTTTACCTTTACCTATTCTGAGGCGTGCTGGCACCTTTTCAATCTAATCTTTGTTTTCTTAATAATGTGCTTAAGTATGTTACTGACTTCCTATTATTTATGAGGATTTATGGTTTTATATTATGCTCATTCTTCCCCTGACACCATTGCAATATATTTCAATAACTTCTTGGTTATCACAATTACCTTTTTATGTCCATGTGGGTATCTTTGTCATTGACCTGTGTCCATTGGACTTTTTTCTTCACACACTGCCTCAGATAGCTCCCTTTTTTCTTCCCATTGCTCCTTCTTATGTGCACTGGATGTCATTATTAATTATTTGTTCAAATGCTGCAACAAATTCTCAACATCTTTGAGTACATTTTCTTCCCAAACATTTCGTAGCACTCTGAGCATTTTATTTAATTTGGTAGTACCTTATTTTCCTTCTAGAAAGACATACCTTCTAGAAACTACTGTCTTGCTCAGCTGTAGACAGCTCAGTTCTCTACTCTGCCCATACTGTCAACATTTCTCATCCACGTCAGACCCATTCCCTTGGAACTTAGCTCTTCGTTTGGTTGATTTCCCTGTGTGCATGTTGTGGGTTGTACAGTTGCAGCCTCAGCGTGAATGTGGAGCAGGAAAAGCTCGTACAGAGCTGCTTTACTGAGACGGTGTCTGACTAACCCTCACCTGGAAAGAGAGTTAGTGCAGGTCAGCAGAGAATTTTACTGTCAGTTTTTATTTCTCTGTCATTGATTAGCTTTCATGGTTTTTGTTTTTGAGCATCGGAGCTGTCGTAAAATTGATAAGAGTAACTCTTGGCGGTGAACTGTGACCTCTGCATTCTCCTCTTGGGGGCTTTATAACCACTGGGTCCTGATGTTTTGAAGTTTATCATAGCGTGTCATGCGAGTTCCTTTAATTCTGTTGGGTACTCAGTGGCCTTTCCAGTGTGGAAGTGTCACTCACTTTCTGGACATTTCTCTTCATTGTGTTCATGTTTTCAATGAATTCTTTTAAGTCTGTAATTTTTGTTGCATTTTGGATCGCCACAATTGAACTATTTATTTTCTTGCTTTAAGGTGTTAGTTTCCATCTTTGTTTAGGGTTAGGTGAGAGTTTTTCCTAAACTACTCTTTTGAACATTTTGATCTCTGTTTATCTAAATGCTATAGCCTCCTCACTCAGATTTCCATTTACACACACACACACACACACACACGTATATATGTGTATATATGTATGTATATATGTATATGTACATCTATATCCAAAAACCAAAAAACCAGAACCTTGTTTCCTTGGGTGCATATACTACTCTAACCTTGCTAAGGGTGAGAATATTTTACATTTTTCTTTTTGTACTGTCTTTTTATTCTTCCATTTTTTTGGTCTTGATTGTAGCTATCCTTTCAGAGTCTGCAGTTGTTTCTGTTAAGTAAGATAGATTTGACAACTATCTTCATATATGTTTGACAACTGAGACACTCCATGCCAGGGTGTTGAAGGACAAGCCTGGTTGACCATCTTGTTGCAACCCCATAAAATGTCTTTAGAGAGGTTGCACTCTCCCAGTTTTACATGAATAATAATGTCATGATGGTTATCACTTTTGGAGCTCAGTGGTTAAAAGAATCTTGGATGCAGGGATTGTGAAGATCTTACCTGATTCTCTTATTATTAATATGATAGCACTGTGCCTTCTGCAATGATTAGGTAAATATTTCAATATAATCCATCTTTATTTTTCTATTATGGTCTCAGAGTTTCTTGCACATGTTCAGCTATTTCCTGCTATCCCAGCATCCTAATTTGAAATCTCAAGAATTCAGTGAACCTCCCATTCTTGAGCCCTTCAGGAGTTTTCCTTGAGTTATTCTCCTGTTATCTTCAGCTCTTTAATGCATTTAAAAAACCTGTCGATGTCTTTTGTCTGTTGATGTTTCTTCTAGTTACTGATTTTATGTAGTGTTAAATCACGTTTCCCTCTTTTCCTAAAAAAGGTCTTCAAGATTAAATTTATGTGATTAAAATCTATGTGAAAAAGTCAATTGTGATTATCTGCAATTTGGTAATTTCTTAAATTTTATAACACAGCTAAGGAAAGCTATTTTAATTATTACCTTAGTAGACAGGAATTCTGTATTTGCCTTCTAGCCTAGTGTTGGTTGTAACCCAGGGAATAAGTGAGTCCGTTTCAAGCTAAAGTGATTTACTGAAGATTGAGTTCTCTGAGCATTTGCTGGTGCAGTCACTTTCTGCTTGCTGCAGCACTCCTTCCTGCTCAGTGTCACTGGCTGCCAGTGAGATGTGGCAGGGAGAGAGATACAGTGTCACTCCACAGTGGGTCACACTGGACTCATGGAACTGATTCTCAAAACGTATGGGATCTTCACAAATAGACAAGCCCTTATCTGTCTCCTGTATGCATTAGTCTGATGTCACAACGATGTTCATTCTAGTGACAGCAGCTCCACCCCTGACACTAGGCATTTCATCAACAGTTTTAATGTGAGGCTTCCTTTCTCACTTTCTGAGTAAGTTTCCCTTGTTCTGGTTATTCGGGATAAATGTGTTACTTACATTAAGAAAACCTTAAAGACACAAATCTACTTTTAACAAAACCCACCGTGTCAACGGTGTTTACTTTTAACAAAACCCACCATGTCGACCGACGGTGTTTAAGGACAGTGGTGTTCTGTAGCCATAGCCCGGGTTTGTGTCCAGATTATATTGCTAAGTAGCTGTGTGACCTTGAGTGAATTCTTGAAAGACTGTAAGCCTCACTTCCAACAGATCACTGTACATGGTTTAGGGTGAATGAAATAAGATAGCGCAGGTAGGTGAGATTTTCATTTTGCAAGGATTGTTTTAGTCACTTCTGAGCAATGCCAAAATCGTGACTCAAATATAAGCTTCCTGGCTCCAGGTCACAGAGTAAGGAACTAAGGGAAATGATTTATGATCAGTTGCTTTTACTTCCTCAATGCCCTGAGGATATGGGAAGAGAAGTGGCTCCAGACTGTGCCCTTCATTCTATGAAAATGTATTACACTGTCATCATCTAAGCAATACTTTTCTTTTCCTTGCCAATTTTGTATAAGTTGAAAGATATGTTGAATACTTTACAATCTTTTTATTAAACAATCACTTTAAAAT